GGTTGGGAGGATTTGTCCAGATCTGCATCTGCATATGCCGCTGGAGGGCGGCACGAGAGTGGCTCTTTCAGCAAATTATCCCGTGAACATGTGCAGGAGGATCGCCCAGCACATCATGACCAGGGCCACCTCGGACGAGGCCCTCGCCTATCTGGTGCAGGCCCACAACGAGCTGGACGACGAACTATGTGCAGCGGGCTACAGGCGATTGCGGGAGAAGCGGCCCGCCTCTGAGGGGCCACCACCGCTGCTGCCGAAGCGTCCAACGCTGGAGCCCACAGCTCCTGAAGGTCAAGGAGAAGGAGCAGGCGGACCAGTACCAGCTCCTGATCCTGACGACCCTGGAGATGCTCAAGGTCCTCCAGAAGGCGAGGCGCCCCTGCCGACGCCCGAGTCGGGAGGTCAAGAGCAGTCGGTGGGCAATCTCAGACTGCCACTGCCAGAGAGTGTCCTGAGCTGTACCAAGACAGAGTTGCGAGAGCTGGAGGCCATCATCGCACATATCCATCGGAATTTCGGACACTGCAGTATGAGCACGGTCAGCGCCGCCCTCAGGTCTCGCAAGGCGGACCAGAAGCTCATTGATCTTTGCAGCCACTACGAGTGTCCAGCCTGCAAGGCAGCTCAAAGGTTTCAGATGCGACCTGTTGCCAGCTCAGAACCGACTTTACCCGCTCCTGGTACTGAAATGGGTTGCGACAACTTCTATTGGACACATCCTCGACGAGCCTACCAGGTTCATGGGACTCTCTGTGCAGATTATGGCAGCCGTTTTACCCAGACGTCGATTCACTGTCAGAAGGGTGTCGAGGAGCATTGTGGTAACACCACCGCGAAGGAGATGCAGGAGGTAGTGCTGAAGGACTGGATCCACCACTACGGCAAGCCGGAGGTCTTCAGGACAGATCCCGAAGGTTGCTTCAGGCAGGTCGAGCAGCGCGCCTGGGTCTCGGGTAACGGCATGGAGTGGAGACCAGAACCCGGAGAAGCTCACTGGCGAATGGGAGTGATCGAAAGATGCATCGAGACGATCAAGGAGATCGCCACTCGCCTCGCCTGGGAGCTACCAGATGACACCGAGCCCGCGGACATCTTTCGCTGGGCTTGCGTGGCTAACAACGACCTGATGCGACACCAAGGCTATAGCCCGATGATGCTCATGATGGGTCGTACCCCGTCGGGGCAGGGCTTAGAGCAAGTGGAGAATCCTTCAGTCCTGAGCGCCAATGTGGTGGACAAGCATTTCCAGGAGGTGACGCGCATCAAGGCGGCGGCTTACAAGGCGTGCGTGGACCACTACCTGTCGGAGAAGACGAAGCGCGCTCTGCTGGCCAAGACGAGGCCGTTCAAGACATGGGAGCCTGGTGAGAAGGCACACTACTGGCGAGGTGCGAAGGGTAACAGCCACAAGACTCGGCCAGGTATAGCTGGTCGATTTCACGGTCCCGCCACTGTCTTGATGCAGGAGCGCGAGATGAAGAATGGTGTTGCGGTGCGACGAGGAGTTGTCTGGCTTGTTGACGGTGACCGTCTTGTACGAGCAGCGGCCGCTCACCTCCGCACGACTACGAAAGCGGAGCAGACCCTGGAGAGCATCTCCGCAGGGAGCTCCGACCACTTCAAGAAGATTCTGCAGGAGCTGACGAAGGGTGCTTACGATGATGTGGTGGATCAGCCTGGTCCGGGAGAATGGGACGATATTCCAGAAGGAGAGAATGGTGAAGTACCGGACCCACCCAGGACGACAACTCCCAGAAGTACAGCATTTCCTCAACCTAACGATCACGGAGGAGAAGCGGGGTCGGGCTCGAGTGACCACGAAGGGGCCACACCTGAGGCCACACCGCCTCCGATGCCCGCACAGAATCCAGCTGAACCAGCACCGACACCGACCAGCGACCAGATCGACGAGAGCGAACCACCACCAGAAGGTTACAACAAGCGAGAAGCCAGCCAAGAGCCTCCTGGAGATCCAGAACCCAAGAGACATCGAGCCGACTTCGCAGGATACTTGAGCCATCTGTGCCAGAAAGTACCGACACTTGTCATGCCCGAGCTCGGTCGTGCCGATCCCGAGTCTGAGAGCAGTGCGAGTTGGACCTCACCCTGGGAGTATGATCAGAAGACGAAGGCTTCCGACCTGGTGGGTTTCGTGGGCGAGGACGAGCCGAACCTCGCGATCATGATCGGTTTCGCGTTGGAGGAGTCGGATGTGGATCAACTCAGCCGGAGGCCTGACAAGGCTCTCGCTGCGATGGTCAAACAGAACAAGGTCGAGGTGAAGCTCAAGAACCTCACGGCAGAGGACCGTGAGAAGCTCCCGATCGCGAAGGGTAACGAGATCAAGTCGTTCCTCAAGTATCGAGTTTGCGAGGCGGCCAGTCGTGCTGGAGTACACCCAGGTGCACTGATGAAGATGAGATGGGTCATTACAAGGAAGGAGACTGGCGACCTCAAGGCTCGGTTGGTGGTTCTTGGCTTTACCGATCCGGGACTTGGGCGGATCAAGACCGCTTCCCCAACATGCAGTCGTCGGGCTCGCCAAGCTTTCCTGGGCGTCTCCGCCTCGATGAGCTTTCAGGTCTTCAAGGGCGACGTCAAGGCAGCTTTCCTACAAGGCGATCTCGGAGAAGAAGATCGAAATGTCCTGGCCGAACCCGTCAAGGAACTCAGGGAAGCCATGCGACTCGAGCATCACCAATGTGTCAAACTCAAGAAGGCGGTCTACGGTCTGGTGAACGCTCCTCGCAGATGGTGGACAAGAGTTCGCAGGGATATGGCCAAGCTCGGCTGGGTGGAGTCTACGACCGAACCTTGCCTGTGGTGTTTACGAGAACCTGGCGGACAGCTCAGAGGTCTGGCCGTAGCCCACGTGGACGACTTCATGATCGCGATTGACCAACACTCGGACTTTGCAGTGGACGCCCTGCAGCAGCTCCATCAAGCCTATGAGTGGGGAAGCTGGGAGACCCAGGATTTTGTTCAATGTGGGGCGCGCATCCGACAAGAATATGATGGACGCACAAAGTCGTGGGGCCGTATTCATCTGACCATGATTGACTACGCCCAGGAGCTCATGGAGATAGATATCCCCGCACATCGACGTCGCGATCCCGAGCAGCCGGTGACATCGTCAGAAGCTACCCGCCTGCGAGCTGCCTTTGGTCAGCTCATGTGGTTGGCTACGCAGGGCGTGCCCCTCATCGGGGCAGAACTGTCACTGCTGTTGGCATACAGTAACTCCGCAACAGTGATTACTCTCCTGCAGGCCAACAAGCTCATCAGGCGCACCAAGTTCGAGGCGACCAAGGAGCTCATCATGGAGAAACATGCGAATCCGTGTGTGGTCGGCTACTCGGACGCAGCCTGGAATGTTCGACGGGATGGTTCTTCACAAGGTGGTTTCTTGATTTTTCTGACAGATTATACCTTGATGCAGAACCGAGAGGCGCCGATCTCTCTGCTGGCCTGGGCATCTGCCAAGTTGCCAAGGGTGTGTCGGAGCTCGAGTGCGGCCGAAGTACAGGCCGCCAGTGAAGCTCAAGAGGAACTGGAGTTCTGCAGGCTGCTGCTGAGCGAGATCCTGTTGGGACCAGCGCCTCTGAAGCAGTGGACTTCGAGCTGTGCGAAGATTCCTGGTGCCCTGGTCCTGGACTGCCGCGGCGTGTTCGATGCCCTGGATCGGTCAGAGAGCAGCGCCCTCGGCATGAAAGACAAGAGGGGCGCGCTGGAGGCCCTGGCCCTCAAACGCGGCATGGCCGCCACGTCGACATCTCTGCGGTGGTGTCACAGCGGTGCGCAGCTGAGCGATTGTATGACCAAGAACTCGGAGAAGGCTCGTGCCAGCTACAACCTGTGGCTACAGCGAGGTACATGGAAGCTGATATACGATGCTAACTTCATCTCTGAAAAGCAGAGGAAACAACGAGGACTGCAGACACTAGACCAGGCTACATATTTTGCAGTCGATGACGATGATGCCTGGCAGTTGTACCCAGAGGATTTGGAGATCGAGGAGGAGGTGGATATTCCCCAGGACTTCCGACTCCCGGAAGCGGTGAGCGTGATGAGACATGATGCTACCTGTGTGCAGTAGCCTACACCACCTAAGGGGAATATTCTATGTGTGTACAGCAGTTCTTTCTCACTCCCCCCCCCTGAGCGTGAAATAACGTTAACATTTAAACAGCCGGCCGTACAGATGGTTCGGGGCATGTGAATCTCAGAGAGATTTCTAGGGTTCTTTGTGACCAGAGCTCCTGACCCCGTTTCCGTCCTGTTCGGGTCCACGGAGCTCTCGAACCCATGTGCAACCACCCGCACGTGCTCTGTTTACTGTCCGTAGCCGTCCGGCTTATAGCCGGGCCAAGAGGCCCTTTTTGGTGATTTTGATTCATCGGTCCGAAGCTCAGGGGGACCGCTCGAGATAGAAAGCGAGTTTCTCTCATCGTATCTGCTGCATATCAAGCTCTTCGAGCTCGACATCTCCGCCTACTGGAACAGCCCTGAGGACCAGCTCCCAGAGACTGTGAGGATTTCTCGAGGTGAATGGCTGAAGATCCGTGGAAGGCACGCTCCACTGACACCCTCCGCCCCTCCCCCTTTCTCTTGCGTTTCCTGCTTCTTGTCCTCCTATCACGAGGTTTCTCCTCTTCCACCTCCGGTCCTATTCCTTCTCGTCGTCTTCCGCCTCGTCCTCCTCCTCCTCGTCATCGTCCCCTCTCGTTCCGGTCTGGCTCTCTTCCCTCATCCTCTCTCCTCCTCAACTTCCTACCCCCCGACCTCCTTTTGCCATCCTCTCCTTCTTTTGCCAGAGTGTTCGAACATCCCTTGTGCATAGCACTGTGAACTGGTTTGTCTTAGTTCTCTCACCCCGAATGGGGTCAGCGGATTCGCACGCGCGCGTACCATAGCCATCTGGGGCTTAGCAGGCATAGCAGACAAGTTCCCATCATGGTATTGCGGAGCGAGGTTGAGCCCAATCGCTAACATCGCCAGCCATGGAGCAAGCGGTGCAACAGTTGCAGCAGCAGCTGCAGGAGCTGAGCGGTCAGTTCCAGCAGCACCGGCAAGACTCGCAGGCGCGAGAGCGGGCGCTCGAGAATCAGTTGATTCAGGTGCAGCAGCAGTCGCTCGGCCAGTTGGCGGCTCAACAGGCAGAGCTTCTCCAGAAACTGAAGAACAGGGACAGAGTCCAGCTTGTGGACACCAAGGGCATAGGACGGCCTGTTGGCTTCGATGGAACGGAGGAGAAGTTTTTACCCTGGAAGGTGAAAGTCGATAACTTCATCACTAGTATTTTCCCTGACTTGGGCCGAAGAGCGCGCGGGACAGATCGACGAGGCCGATATCACCGTGGCTTTCGGGGACCGAAACGATCCCGAGTTCGTTCCGGACTTGCGGAACAAGGAGCATCAAGTGTACATGGTTCTCCAGCAGCTTTGCGAAAAGGAGCCGTTCGACATAGTGAGCAATTGTGGTCGGGGCAACGGGCTCGAAGCGTGGAGGCGCCTGAACAGGCGCTACGACCCCTCCACCGGCGGCAGGAAGAAAACTCTGCTGAAACACATCCTCAATCCGTCCAGGGTGACGTTGGATGAGCTATCCGGGGCACTTGAGAAGTGGAGCGACAGCGTCCGCATGTACGAGCGACGAAAAGATAAGAACGGCGACCGGAGCGCCAGTCCAGATGACATCAAAATTTCCGCTTTGGAAGCTTTGGTGCCGAAAGAGCTCGAAAACACACATGCTTCTCAACAGCGACCGGTTTGACACGTTCGCCAGAGCCATGGAGGGGATCGGCACCTACCTCGAGGCCCGCACAGGAACGAAACTGAAGGTAGTCGAGCACAGCGGCAACAGGAATCCTGACGACATGGATGTCGGAAGTTTCGCCAGGGGCAAGCCGAAAGGGGGGCCGAAAGGGCCCAAAGGCAGCGGCAAGGGCAAGGGCGACCGGATGCCCGCCCAGACGGGCTTCCAGGGCAACTGCGACAATTGCGGAAAGAAGGGCCACGAGAACAAGGATTGCTGGCGCCCCCGCGGGGGCGCGCGCCGGCCGGACGCCACGGCCAAACCCAAGGCTGGGCCGAAGGGCCCCAAGGGCGGCGGCAAAGGCAAGGGCGGCGGCAAAGGCAAGGGCGGCAAGCCCGCCCGCTCCTTGGAAGAGGAGGAGCCCGAGGAGGAGGCAGCCGACCAGAGCTACCTCTCCCTGAGCCCGCTGGAAGAGTGCCGCGCTGGCGGCCCCGAGGAACCCGCACCAGGTGTTTCGCCTGGCGTGGGTCGGCAGGCAGAGGGGCAGAAGCTAGGCAGCGGTGCTGGCGCAGGGGTGCAGAGAAGCATCTCGGCGGCGAGCTCAATCCGGATGCGTCGCGACATGGAGTTCACTATCCAGGGGATGTATTCGGACAGGATCCGCTCGATCAGCGCGGCTATAGAGATGGTCGAGGACGAGGGCGAGGTCCAGGAGCTCCTGAGGCAGAAGGCCGAGGTCGAGGAGAAACGCGACTCGGTGAAGGCCACGGCGATAGCGGACAACCAGCAACGGCGCGGACAACCAGCAACGGCCGAGGCTGGATCAGAGCCACCACGACAGCAGGTACCGCAAGACTAGCGAGAATGGCATGCCTCACCACAAGGCGTGGTGCCACGAGAAGAAGCGCAGGCGCGCTGCCGAGGACAGGAAGAAGGGCGTGCCAGAGCGCGCGGCCGAGAGGAAGAAGCCTGAGGACGACTGGCACGCGAAGTTCGACTCCACCGCGGTCAAGGAGGAGGAGTACCAGACGACTGATCAGGTGCTCGACGGGATGGACGGCGAGGTGATCGCCCCGGGCATCCAAGGGAAGATGCGCGTGTACGGCGGCAACCTCACGGCGGCGAGCGCTGCCGAAAAAAAGGTGGACGAGTCGGATGCGGTGCTGAAGAAGGAGGACGTCAAGCTCTACAGGCCGCTCTCCCGGGAGGAACTTCAGTCCTTCCGACAGGGGGACCCGAACGAGGCCGAGAAGATCCTCTACGAGAAGGCCCAGAAGAAGGTGGAAAGGCAGCGCGACGGCGCCGCGCAGCCCTCCGCTTTTCGGAGGACTGGACCACAGGCTCGGGAGACGCACAACCAGAAGCAGCTCGCGAAGCGAACTGCTGCCAAGCCCTGCTACACGAAGATGTTCAGTGGCGCGTGCAATCGGGAGAACTGCCCGTTTTCTCATGACTTGTGCTACAAAGGCGAAGTGTTTTGCGAGCATTTCGAGAAGGGGAGCTGCAAGTGGGGAGACCGCTGCAGGCTGACCCACGACGACAACCGCAGGAACCAGTTCTGAGACGAGCTGGACGCCAAGCGTCGCCGGAGGCAGGACGCGTGGGAGGCGGCGGAGGCCGCCGCAAAAGACCAAAGACTTGCTGGAGTACCTTGGTGAGACCAACCAGGCAAAAGCCATCATCTTCATCGCCATCACCTCCCTCCATCGTCATCTTTTCCTTCGGGGTCCTCATCGTGGGGGAAGAGGGGAAAGGAGGGGGAGGAAGAGCAGGAGCAGAGTCTGTGTCACCTGAGCCCTGGTGCCACAAAGAAGCACGAGTGGAAAGGAGAGGCTCTGTACTGCAATGGGGTGAAGATGGAGCGTCACGAGATGAATTTCGACACCGGGGCGGCCATCACGGCTTTCCCGAAAGATTTCGCGAAGGAGTATCCCAAGAGCGACCCGACCGTCCGGAGGTAGATTACAGCCAGTGCCGAAGAGATTTGTGACGAGGGCGGAAAGAAGGTGTACGGTACGGATGCCAACCTCAATCCGTGCTCGCTTGAGGGTCGCGTGGCAGACGTTCACAAAGTTCTTGTTCCTGTTGTGAGGATGTGCGAAAACAACGACGTGTGGTTAGGGAACAATGGCAGTTATGCACTCCCCCGTAAAAGCAAATTTGCCATTGGGATGCGCAGATTTTTCGAAGAGCTGAGGAAGAAACACTATGAGGAGGAGTTGGTTCCAATCTACATTAAGAAGGGCGTGTTCGTTTTCGACTACTACCTAGAAGCACCACCAAACTGAGCAGGATGAACCCATCAACCCGCTGGAAGACAGCGCTGGGCCCGAGGGCCCGGCGTCGGGAAACGACTGGCACTCCAGGAGGTAAGACCGGAGGAGGAGAAGGAGGACGTAGGAGAAGAACAACGGAGCGCTGACGTGCCTAAAGGGCCGGAGGCGCCAACCGAAAGGGAAAGAGAGGAGCACGAGGCTGCCGAGCACGTGGTGCACCGAAACTGGTGTCATCATTGCGCGTCTCCCCGCGCAGTAGACAACCCTCACCGGCCAGCTCCTGAGGAACCGGAAAACGCTGTCCCTACTATCATGTTGGACTACATGTTCATGGGGCAGACTGATGAGGGCACAATGCCAACGTTGGCAATCAAGGACAAGAAAACAAAACGTCCTTGGGGCACGGTGATCGAAAGGAAGGGCGACGACCCTTTCGCGATCAAGTTCCTGGCGGACGCGATCCGCGAGACTGGTTACAAACGCGTCGTCCTGAAGTCGGATGATGAAGTGGCCATACTTGCCCTAAAGACCAAAGCCGGGGAGCAACTGACGGACGTAGAAGTCGTCATGCAGGAGGCTCCCACAGGCGATCACCAAGCAAATGGTGAGATAGAGGTCATGGTGCGCGAGTTGAACGCAGAATCCGTGCCTGGAAGAGTGCACCGAAGAGAAACTGAAAGTGAAGCTGAAGGACACAGATCCTCTGCTCGCTTGGATACCGAAACACGCGGCGTTCTTGATGTCGCGATTCCGCGTAGGTGATGACGGGAAGACCCCCTACGAGCGGGCCACCGGCAAGAGGTGGCGACGTCCCCAAGTACTGTTTGGGGAGCGTCTGTTTTTCAGACCGGTGAAGACCAGTAGTCGCAAGCACGAGTTCGAGTCGAAGGTCGCTGTCGGTAGCTACGTTGGCACGCACGGCAGAAATTCCGATGTTATGGTCATGATCGAAGAAGGAATCGTGAAGGGGACAAGTATCCACAGGAAGCCGGAACCTGACCGGCGGGACAACACAGTGTTGTCGAAACTGAAAGGGCTGCCGTGGAACGTGCGGCCAAAGGAGCGCGAGGTCATGGCAGCGCCCATGCCCATCGAGGTGCCAGCCGTTGCGGCACCCGCCTCCGCAGCTCCACCGGCCCCTGTGGCACCCAAAGACGTGGCCAAAGCATTGTACGTTAAGCGTGCAGATATCGACAAGTTCGGCATGTGGCCGGGCTGCAAGGGGTGCACGTCCCTGGCGACAGGCATGCACCAGCAGGCCCATTCGATCGATTGTGGTGCCCGTATCTAGGAGGAGCTGATGAAGACAGCGGCGGGGAGACAGCGCGTTGAGGAGGCGAAAAAGAGGAAGAGGTCCGAAGAGGCTTCTGAAGCTGTTGTAGAGGCGAGGACGAATCCACTAGAAGGGGAAGTAGCGGCCAACGAGGCGCTAGGAGCGCCGATGGCCGTAGAAGAGGAAAGCTTAGGAGGAAGGAGAAGTGAGAGGGAAGGAGGAGAACAGGAAGGAGAGGCGCCAGAAGCGCCAATGGCCGTAGACGCGGCCAACGCAGCGGGCGAGGCAGCGGCTCCAGGTGGTTCGCCGGGGGTTGTTGCGCAACCACAACCCGCGCAGGAAGGAGGCTCTTCAGGCTCAGCAGGGCCAGGCCGGAACGAGTCTTATTGTGACGTGGAGATGGGGCAGGTTCTTGACGTAGGTGGCATCTGCAGCCTGGAAGAAGCGGTGGCCGAGGCGTGCCAAATAGCGAGTTTGAGTGTCAGCAAGACTGATGTCTCGAACATGTGTAGTGTCCTGAGTAGTTTGGGGCATGGTAGCTTTGATGCTGCTGGCATCGTAGATCCTCCTTCCGTGATTGTGAACGGGAACGACGTTCAGTCAGGCATTTTCGGCCTGAGGCCAGGTTTCGCGCTGGACACTGCCGTGTGCGACGTTCTCCAGAAGGAGAGCCAAAGCAAAGTGTGGGATTTATCCGACCAAGGGCATGTGATTGAGCTTCAGGCGGCGGCGAAGGAAAAGGATCTAAACGTCTTGGTGTTGAGACCTCCACTGGAAGCGTTCACCGGAGTAGTGAGCGGCTCTGACGCTCCTGGCGTGGAGCGGGCACAGCGTGCCATGAAGGTGGCAGTTGACTTGTGTCTTGAAAGGCGTGGCCAGGGAAGGCACTACCTGCTGGAGAGACCAACCGGCATGCCCGGCTGGGCAGAGCAGGAGTTCCAAAGACTGGGCGGTATCCAATGTGAAGGGCCGAAGTGCCGTTGGCGCATTCGGGGTCGAACCGAAGGTTCTTACATGCGAAAGAATACTGCTTGGGTTACTGAGTGTGGCCACCTGGCCGAGAGCATCCGGGAAGAGTCTCGGAGGAGGCTGGGTGTAACCTGGCAGAGGCGCGTAGACGAGGTCGACGGTAGGCTGGTTGAGACTGGCCGGAAACCTTGGGCGATCCAGGTCGCCATCCTCAGCGCTACGTTACGTGCTGCCGAGGAGAAGGGTGAAGTATGTTCTTTTGGGCAGGCTTCGGGCGCCGGGCCCGTGCCGGAAGAAGGCATAGAGATAGACGAGGATCCAAGATTTTACCTCGATGACGTCACCGGGGCAGAGCTGAAGCCCGAGAAGGTGAAGGAGGCCAGGGAGACCGAAGTGGACTGGATCCGTAAGCAAAAGGTCTACGTGAAGGTCCCCATCCACCAGTGTTGGGACCGAACGGGCAAAGGCCCGATCACCCTGAAGTGGGTGGACACGAACAAAGGGGACGACGTCCACGAAATGTACCGCTTGTAGTCCGGGAGATAAAGAAGAACGGGAAAAGAGCATTACCAGACCACGAGCTTTTCAGTTCGATGCCTCCACTAGAGTCGCTGAAGATGTTGCGCTCCATGTTGACCACCGTGAAGGTCAGCAGAGGCCGGAGGAAAGATCTGAAGCTGAAGCTGTTCGACATTTCCCGTGCCCAATTTTATGGGGTTGCAAAGCGGGAGGTGTACGTGACACTCCCAGAGGGAGACCAGCAGGAGGGCCATTGTGCGCTGCTACAGTGCTCAATGTACGGAACGCAGGATGCGTCTGCCATCGGCAGGACGACTACAGCACCCTCCTGGAACAAAACGGCTTCAAGCGCGGACGCGCTAGCACGGCGGCGTTCTACAACGCAGTTGAGGACATCAGGATCCTAGTGCACGGCGACGACTTCGTTGTCTTAGCAGACGAAGAGGGACAACAGAAGGTAGAAGCATTGCTCCGTGCACGGTACGATCTTCGGCTGGAAGGGTGTGTTGGACCTGAGGCCACCGACAGCACGGATCTGTGCGTACTGAAGAGAAAAATCAGGTACTTCAAGGAGACCGGCGTGGTGGAGTACGAGGCGGACCAACGCCACGCTGAGCTGATCATAGCAGCGCTAGGGCTAGAGAAGGCAAAGGCCGTTACGACGCCAGCCGAGAAGAAGACGGCAACTGCCGTGTCGGCGGCACTGTCGTTGCCAAAGGCGGATGATGAGCGAAAGAGGTTCTATAGGTCCTTAGTCATGAGAGCGTCTTACCTTGCACCGGATAGGGCTGTATTGTGTGAGTGCGTCAAGTCACTCGCTCGAAAGATGATTGGACGGACCGCAGCTGATTTCGCAGACCTTAAGCGTCTAGGTCGCTACCTGGTGGGCAGGCCCCGGGTAGTCTTACGCTTCGAGCCGCAGAGGATGTACAAGGACATCACCATCTACTCAGACTCGGACCACGCAGGGTGTCTTGTAACACGACGAAGCACCACAGGCACAGATGTGTTGATGGGCAATCACTGTGTGAAGGCATCATCTGGACTCCAGAGCACCATCGCTCCCTCTAGCGGCGAGAGCGAGTTTTACGGCATTGTCAAAGCTGCTTCTATTGGCTTGCAACTACAGGCGCTGCTAGCCGATTGGGGGCTACAAGGTCAATGCGGCAGTGCTCACAGACAGTAGTGCTGCACGTGGCACGTGCTGCACGTGGCACGTGCTCCCGGCGAGGGCTGGGGAAGCTGCGGCATGTGCAGACTCGCTACTTGTGGGTCCAGGAGAGAGTTGCGAGGAGCGAGATCACAGTCGGGCAGGTTGGCACCAAGAACAACATCGCAGACATGTGCACGAAACCTGTCAACGGAGATTCCCTTACGAAGTTCATGAAGATGTCAAGCCATTATTTTCTGAGCGGTAGGGCGGCGACAGCAAAGCACCTAGTGAAAGTGAGGTATAGTAGTAGCGCGCTCGGTTCAGGTCAGCAGAACCTCCCGCGAGGAGGAGTGTTCGAAGATCCCTTGTGTATAGCACTGTGAACTGATGTGTCTTAGTTCTCTCACCCCGAATGGGGTCAGCGGATTCGCACGCGCGCGTACCATAGCCATCTGGGGCTTCGCAGGCACAGCAGAAACATTCCCATCACGGAGGCCTCATCCTGGTCACCTGCGCCTCCTCCGCCAAAGCCCTTCCCCTTGGACAATCCGTCGCCTGCGCCTCCTCCTTCTCCTTATTTTTCGTATTCCTCCACCCTTTTTTCTTCTCGTACTTTTCTATTGCCACCATTGTGTTTCAGGCCCCCTGCCTCCTTATCCTTCGTCCTCCTGCCCCCGTTTCGTTTTCCTCCTGGACCTCGCCCCGATTCCCTCCATTCCGCCGCCCGTCTGCCCCCCCTCCCCCGCCCCCCTCTCGCTCCTCTCCTCCCCAGTGCCTCTTGCTCCTGCCCAGTGCCTCTGTTCTCCAGTTGCACTGCCGCCGCGAATCCGCCACCGCGCTCGGGCGGGCGCGGAGGGGGGCGAGCTGGGCGGGTGGGATGGGGGGAAGGGCTACGGACCCCCCCGTTTCCCCAGGCTTTCTGCATTCGGGGACCATTTTTCAGAGGCCCCCGCCCAAAATCTCACCTAAACGCGGAGCGGCGGAGATGTGGCGCCAACCAGCTGGAATATCGCATGATATTTTCCTGACACGTGAACACGATGCCGCCGAGGCGGCGGCTAGGTTCGACCGTGGCAGCCACCGTGAGGTCGAGGGTGCCGCCGTCTTTGTCCCCACAGAACTGTGATGAGGAACGTGGGCGGAGAGAAGAAAACAAGGGAATGGAGGGAGGGAGAACTTGAGCGGAGAACACAAAACGCACGCTGTGCTTCTCAGGACAGCCCCACATGCTTTCTGACGCCGCCCTGGCCCCCACCCCCCAGCCGACCGATTAGAGGGCGGCGGGAGAGGAAAGTGAGAAGAACGGGGGCCCGAAAAAAACATGTTATGCTACAGCGCACATTTAGAGGCCCCCGCCCAAAATCTCACCTAAACGCAGGGCGGCGGAGATGTGGCGCCAGCCAGCTGGAATATCACATGATATTTTCCTGACACGTGAGCACGATGCCGCCGAGGCGGCGGCTAGATTCGACCGTGGCGGCCACCCTGAGGTCGAGGGTGCCGCCGTCTTTGTCCCACACCACCGCTTTTCTGGCGACAGCGCCTGGATGGTGGGGCGTGCGGGGCCAGGGTGGGCGGGAAATCGGACGCCACGCCAGCCGCCTCCCAAAAAATTCTCACGTCCAGGACTCATCACGAGCATTACACGATTCTCATTCACAGCAACACGTCGGGTGGCTCTTCCGGCTTCTTTCACCCGGAAACACCACTTGTGCCCCCGACGCACTGTCACTCTCTGGCCTTGGGTGGGCGGGCCAGCTTCTTCTTGAGCAGCTCCGCGCCTCGCTCCAGCACTTCAGGCGGCAGAGCGGCACGTGACGCTACCAGGGCGTGGGTCTTCATGTAGCGCAGCACATTCTTCTCGGAAGCCCAGCGCCCACGCCTCTGGATCGCCCACACACTCCGGTAGCCAGTCGACGCATCGTGGCTTGGTCCAGAGTGCCGAGCTGCATGCGGAGGAAGCTGGCCACGCCGATGTCGTCACAGGCGCGCCGCAAGGCGCGGCGGTACGCGTCCACCGAGCAGTTGAAGACCCGGTCGGACAGCGCCCTCTCCATCTTCCTCTGGACGAGCATCTCGGCCACGTGCTGGCGGTCGATGAGCACGCCCTGCCTCATGCCCGTCTTGGTCCTCTCTCCGCGCTCCGCGACTCCGAGGTTGATCGCCACCACCTGCTTGCCCTCCGCGTCCACGTCGATCACGATGTCTGCCGCGCGCAGGCCGAAGAGCTCCGCCGACCCGAGGTAGGTGTCGAGGGCGAGCTCCGCAGCGTCGGCTGCCTCGGTGTTCCCGGCCAGTCTCACAGCTTCGTCCAGCACTGCCCACAACTCCAGCGGCTGAGGTCCTCCCTCACCCGCCACATGCAGACGATGCCAAGCTCGGTGGGCACGGTTGGATCTTGGCAGGCCCGTCGACAGCTCTGGCCACACGTAGGCCAGCCCGTGCACCACGAGGTCCCCACGGTGCGGGCCCACCTCCTCGTCCTCGACTAGACGGTCCAAGTAGCACAGGACCGAGTCGTCGATCTCCTCTCGGCTCATCATGCGCAGGTTGAGCTCCTGAGCAATCTTCAGGAAGCGGCGCACATTGGGCACGTAGCATCCCAAAGCCGTCTTCGTGGAGACCGAAAAAGGCAGCAAAGCCAGCCCGTGCGTGTCCCCACTCGTAGTAGGTCTGCCAAGAGAGTGAGACCGCTCCGCTTCATTCCTGCGATGCGTGTGGCCCATCTTGCGGTGTGACGCGTGGTGCCGAAGTCGCTCCTCCGCCACGGCAGTCGATGTAGTAGGAAGCAGCGTGCACACCAGTACCCACATCCAGAAGACGGAGGGCGCGCCAGTCGGGCGCGTGAACCGGAACAGCTCCTCCATGTGCCAACACCCTCTTCGAGTGCTCCTGCGGCCCGAGGGGCGGCTCGCTCGATCAACCCGGCGCCTCGAGGAACGCCGCGGCCAGGACCTCCAGTGTAGTTCCCGAGCCTCACATTCCTCGCATCGTCCGCTCGTAGACCTGGCCGACCCCACAACTGATGTCGTAGGCGGAGGGGAGGCGGGCCACCTGGCTGGAACCGAACCCGAGACCACGTCGAACACGACGGGCCCGAGTGTCCACCGTCCGTCTCCGTCTCCGCCAGCAGCTCCAGCCGTCGAACGTTCACCTCGTCCGTCAGGTCGAACTTCGCCCCGAAGCCGATGTCCACGTTGGTGCAGATCAGCAGGCAGCCTCTCGCCGCCGCGATCCTGATCAGCCAGTCCTCCAGGTCCCCGGCACGCGTGTGCCCACTGCAGAGATGCATGAAGCGCAGCACCTTCACGGGCACCGATACTCCCATTCTGAGCGGCTGGAACGGGTCGATCTCCGCCACATCCGCGAGGGCCTCGATCTTCTGGGACACCTTCTCCGGCAACACCTGCTCGTCCATCCGCCGCTCCTTGGGGGCTTGTCCGATCGGGAATCCTCGGCTCGGCCCGTCGCTGTGGTTCCGATCCGAAGGTACCCAACGCCAGTACTCGCGCATGCCGCACCCGAGGTCGAGGGCGGCCATCCGCCGGCAAAGGATCAAGATAGGCCGACTGGCGGACCTGCCCTTGCGGAAACCGCCAAGGCAGACCATCGAGTCGGTGATCCGCAGGTGCTTCCTCCCCCAGCTTGCGCGACTGCGAGCAGAGTGCCTCGCCGCCGCCACGCCCGTGCGCATCTCGAGCAGGTTGGTGTGCTCCTTCTCCTCCCAGCGCCAACGCACGACCTCCTTCCATCCGGTAATGTCGTCCCAGCACGCGTGCACGGGAGGTACTCGCACCCGCGTGCCCGGCTCCACCTCGTCGCCCACGCGCTTGAAGGCCTCGCCCTCGCACCACGAGTCGGCAGCCCACGAGGAGGAAATGCCAGTCCAGACTGTCCAGCCACCTCGCACAGCATGGCGGGCTTCCCGGCGCTGCTCCTCCACCGAAGCCACCGTTGAAATGATGGTTCCTCCGTACAAGTTGGCATCGAACATCATCACCGTGGGGTCCCAGGGCGTCGCCAAATCGTCGACTGACACCAACGGTATGATGGCCGCCGCAGCCGCCAGCTCCCTCAGCACCTCCGTCGGCACTTCGCGTCGAGCTCCACCCCGGAACTCCATGCACCAGGCGTAGACCTCCGAGAAGATGCTCAGCGCGCCCCGGCAGATCAAGAAGCCCCAGGACAGAATGCCAACGATACGAGCGATCGAGTCGGGCAACTCCCACCTGCTGATCAGGATCTCCTGGATGCCGAGCACCGCTAGCCACATCTTGTCCTGGTTCGGCGCCAGCCGAGTGCCCTGGAAATCGCCCCCAATCATGCGGGCAGCTTCCGAGCACGCGTCCTTGTGCACCTGGAAACCGGCAGCCACCACCAGCGCCTTGGCCCCCAGCCAGATGTCCTCCACCGTCGTCACCTCCACCTGACCCGACACCACGGGGAAATCGAGCCCAATGATCACGAAGTCGTCGATGTACTCGTAGTGCGCCGCGGGCAGCTCCCGACTGAGGTGAGGAAGAGGACCCCCCTCGGCTAGCCGCTGACCTTCGGATAAGGAGCTCAAGCCACCAGCCTGCGGGCCAGCATTGAAGATGTCCTCCATGGTCGTCTGGGCCATCCAGCACGCCCATGAGAACCCCATCAGCGCCACCTTCACCCCGACGTAGGGCCCACTCCCCGGACGCAGGGAGGTCTCCGGAGGAGTGCGTCCAGCTCGTCTCCGCCGACCCCCGGCAGCACGAAGAAGGTCGCCAACTCTTCCCCCAGCTCGAGCGTGTAGTAGAAGTCGGGCAGGTCCCCGAGGCCGAAACGAATGGTCACCCCGTCCTCCTTCATCTCCTCCGACACATCCAAGAACGACATGGCGCTCACTCCCCCCATGGCACACCACGGCGGGGACCGCCATCGGGTGTTGGAGCGCCTCTAGTCGAACACCAAACGGAGTGTAACCTCGGGCTCGCTCCCGACCATCTCGGCCTTCTTTACCACGCAAAGAGCCCGACCTCATCCACCACCTCGGCAGTCCCGCAGAGCATACCCGCCGAGGCCATCCTCCGTGCAAGTTGCAGTATCTCTTTCCTTTTCCGCAATTGCGGGTCCACGTAGTTGCGCACCTCGCAGGCCTGAACGCAGGCGTCGCCATCCTCTCTCAACATCGCCTCCTTGAACTTCTCCAACTGTTGTGCCACACGAGGCGACACACTCCTCACATTCACAGGTCTGTTTCCCGGGGGGGGGCAGAGCAACTCGGTCCCACTGAGCGGAAACGTATCGCCCTTGTCTGGCAGCCGCACACTTCCGCCAGCACTCCTCCTCCGAAGTTCGGCCAACCTCTGCTTGAACGTCGACTTCGACTGGTTGCCCGCCGCCGAAGCGGCAGGGCGCAGCCGCAGGATCGCGGCTCCTTGGCAGGGTGTCGTCGACGGCGGTCGTAGGCGACGAACCTCCTCCAGCACGCGCCGTGAGAGGTCCCCGTCCAGGTTGTCTGGCATCGGCCCCTGTCCCCAGCACTCGGCCAGCTCCAGCAGGCTGTCGTCCAGACTCCCACTCCCACGAGGGAAAGATCGTTCGCCCGAGCATCTCCACCTCCTCTCTCCAGCGCGTCAGCACCCGACGAGACGTAGATCTGGGGCGCTCCGGACGCTGGAACAGCACCACCTCGGACAGGACGTCCCGCCGCCGAGACATAGAAACCCTAATTCGGCGTGCACAAGCTCACGTGGCCGCCGACGAGGATGATGCACGTCAGCAGCAGAAAAAAGAGTACGGTGGCCAAAAGGTGCGGAGACGGAGGAAGACGCCCGACACCGCTGCACGAACCGCCCGACGACACGCCAGGCAGCCCAATTCGAAGTTCCCCAGGCGTCACGGCGCTGCTGCCGCTCCTCCGTCCAGGTCGCTGCGCGCCTTGATCAACTGCGAGTCCCGACCCATGGCCTTCTTCATCTCCTCCTCGGCGCTCATCACCCGAATCGTGCTCTCGTCCGCTAGCTGAGGGTCCAGCCTGCGAGCCGCCTCCCAGTCGACCTTGGACTTCCAGCCCTTGGCGTCCTTCGGTCGGCTCCAGTCGTCCCGGCAGTTCACGTTCCGATAGGCCCGACCGATAGCATAACCCTTGCGCACCAACCGTTCGAAACCCCCCAGATTGAGGAGCCCCTTCTGGCGATCCGTCATCAGCATCGTGTCGACTGCTCCGAAGGACGCGATCATCCCCCGCGCCGTGTTGCAGCCGGACAGTCCTCGATCTCGAATAAATTCGCGCGCCCAAGCCTCCGCCGTCTTCCCTGATGCGTAGATCTCCGACGGCATCTCGGCCGAGATCCTCTGACGGGGCACGCATCTGTTCCACTCCTCCGTCGGGATCTCCTTGTACTCCTCCAGCTGCTCCAGGAAAACCTGCTGCAGCATCTGAGCCTTGAACCTCATCCGCTTGAAGGCCAGCTCCACAGCCTCCGGCGGGCTCGTCGCCGACCGCTTCTCCGGGGCCTGCAGCAGCAACAGTGTCGTCGGTGAGCCAGCCGTGGCCGCGGCAGACGAGGACGGGGCGCCCACTTCGATGGCGGCCACTCGCTCTCCTACGCTTGCCTCGGGCTGACCGCCCCCACGAAGTCGAGCCTCGAACTGATCCAAGCGCGCCATCATGCCCTCGATCACCTGCTTGTTGGCCTCCGCCGCCGACTGTCCGCTCGACTGGGCCGATGAATCTAACACACCTCGACGCAGCTCTCGGGATCGCTCGGCCGTCCGCATCTCGCTGATCTCCTCCATCATAGCCTGCTTCGACGCCGCTAAGTCGCTCAGCTGAGTAGCCAGCAACTGAGAATCCAGGCCCAGGGGCCGAGCCTGTGGGACACCAGGTGGAGGCACGGCGAGAGCGGGAGGAGGATCTCCCACGACCGAGGAGGCCGAAGACGAGGCAACCGAAGATAACCCCGACTCGCCCGTCTCCTGCATCTCGTGCACCCCCCAGCAGCAGACCAAGTGCGAGGATGAGAGCGGCCCGACGACGCAATGGCATCAGCTTGCGAGCCCACCCCAGCCAGTCGCCCAGGTACGCCACCCACTCCTGCGCGGTCTCCGACGATTCGACCAACGTGTCCTTGCACGCAACCGTCCACCCCCAGGCGGCGAGAACCGTACCCCAGATCAGCCCGATCACACCCAGGTACTTCAAAGCCTCCCACAACACGAAGAACAGGGCCAGCAAGCCAGCCACACGCCACGGCGACCGCAAAGCCCACCGCAAGGTGCGGAAGGAAGAACGAGCCGACCCAAGCACCGCGTACGCCAGGTTGATAGCCACAGCCTGCTGCGCTTGACGACCCGGCCTGTAGAGATCCAAAGATGGGATAGTTCCCGCCTTCAAACCATCGGTAGCTTGCTTCATGAAGCTGCCCCGCTGGACCTGAGACAATGCGGGCATTGGCTGCCAGCGCACACCGGACAGCGGGTCGTTGAACAACGTCGACTTGGCCGTGATCGTAATCGTCCCCTTACTGAGGTCCGGCAGCAGCACCACCCAGCAGTTCCCAGACTTCCTCCTCACGAGAAACGTTTCCACTCCATCGGTAGCACTTCGTCGAAGGTAACGGCGACTCCATATCTCCACAGGCATCACAGCCTCAGGCGAAAAGTCCTCCTCGTCACCGAACTCCGACTCCTCGCTGGGCGGGTCCCGCACAACAGTCAGCAGAGTCCACAGGAACACGAGGATCGGTCCGCCACAGCGCGCCGTCGCGAGGATCTCCTCCTCGCTCCCAGGCAGGCTCAACGCCTGCCCAGCAAGACAAGAATAGCACTCCTCACTCTCAGTGTCCACCAGCTCCCATGAAGAACCAGCAGAGATATCGCGCTCCCCGCGCGAGGGAAGGTTGGCGAATCGAGGGGGCTCCGCTCAGGCGCGATTCGCATCAACGCTTGAGCCCAAAGAACTTGAGCGGAGAACACAAAACGCACTGTGCTGCTTAGGTCAGAACGTGAATTACCTCCCCCGCTTTCGCTTCCAGGCAAAACCAAGCCATACCACGCGCCTCCTCGTCAAGCGGCCTGATCAGTACAGGCTGCAATTTGGCATCGTTTGGTATCTCTTGGAAGCGAGGGTGGTCAAAAGCGAGGTAGGTTTGTTTCCCCCCTATTAGGACGGCCCCACATGCTCTCTGACGCCGCCCTGGCCCCCACTCCCCAGCCGACCGATTAGAGGGCGGGGGGAGAGGAAGGTGAGAAGGACGGGGGCCCGAACAAAAACATTGTATGCTACAACACACAGTTTGCTTGGAAGGCCGAAACGTGGAGGGGCTTGGTCACAGAAGTGAGCGCATCTTGGTCTCGATGCGGCGGGGGCCCTAATTACGTTTTACTTGGCAGACAAGAGAGAAGGGCCCGACGCACACCCACCGCTGCAAGCGCGGTGGCGGACCTCATTGTGGGTCACACGCTCTGTGGCGACATCAACGTCTGAGAGCTGCGGCCATTCCCGCCCTTCCCTCTGGGAACGCGCTCCGGCAAGATGGAGGCGGCTCGCTCGTCCGTTCGACCGGTGGTTCCGAGGACGACCCATTGCGCGCCGCGCTGAGGAGGGCACCTCCACGGATCCCCTCGCGGCGCTGGGCCGCGAGGGCCTCGAGCGCCGGCTGCGAGAGGCGCCCGCCGCCCGCCGCGGCTGCCGTGGCTGCCTCATGCTCCTCGGCGTGCTCCGCCTGCGCCGCGGCCTGGGGTGGCCGTGTGGTAGGGGTGCGCCGCGCTGGCGCGGCGGGGGCCCCACCGCGGACGTTCAAGGTTGGCTTCGGCGGCGACGTGCGAACCCTATAGCCCACCACCCCACGATTCCGAAGGGGGGAGGCGGGGTTTACGTCGCTCGGGAGATGTGGCCTCCCAGCGTCGGCGCGGCGGGGACCCCACTGTGCGCGTTCTAGGTTGGACCCGCCTGTGGCCCAGAATCGGCGGGTGTCATCTCGGGAAGGGCCGCGATCGTCCAAGGTTGAACGGTCCACCCGGCGCCAGGAGCCAACACCCGCGACGTCGCGACGCGAAGCGGCCGTAGGTGGGCAGTGGTGGCGGCAGCGGTACAATCGATACGTTGAAATGAGGATCACTTCGGGCTCAGAACGGGCTCTTGTCTTCGAGCCAATCCTTGGACTTAGGTCGGGGAACCCTGTTCGTGACCGAGGCGCTCCGTGGCCAGAACATCTCCGATGTTCCTTAACGACGACTGCAGTCAGGTGTAACGTCAGAGGGGAAAGGCTCGGGGGACGACACATCGACCCTCCATCGCCCACTCATCGCCGATATGGGGCCCGACAGCCCACCCACCCGAGGACCGTGCGGGTTCGGCATCGGGGGCCTATTTCTGATCTATCGGTGACGCATCGTCGATTTCAAGTCGATGTTTCCATCGTATCGTTTGTTCTCAGGTTGTAGGGTGGTGGCGTTCTTTGTGGTAGCGGCAGTGGTGGTGGTGGTGGTGGTACGGTGAGGAACTTGCGGTTGGCGTGTCGCTCCGCTGGTTTCTGGCCACCCAAGCTTCGGCGCGACGCGCTAACCACTCCCCGAGTTTCCAGCCTCAACGCCCCCAGCCTTTCCCAGCCTCATTGCGGAGCGGAGCGTCACACTTCTTGCAGG